AAAGATATTTTGTCTCAAACAAAAAAACCGGTGCTCCTACCCACTTATTATTAAATAGTCGGGCACACTCAAATGGGGAGTGTGCGGTCAAGCACTGTGACGTGGCTGATTGCGTTTAGATTGACCCATGTTTTCTGGTTACTGGTTCGCCTGCTCCATACATGATTATCTACAGGTCGCCGCATCAAAACTTAAATATTGCTGGTTACGGCGTTAAAAAACATTCACTTACTCGTGAACACACATGAAGCAAACCTATATTTCATTAGGTTGGTTGGTTGGTTTGTTGTTTTACGCCGCACTCAGCAATATTCCAGCTATATGACGGCGGCCTGTAAATAATCGAGTCTTGACCAGACAATCCAGTGACTGACATCATGAGCATCGATCCACGAAATTGGGATCGATGACATGCATCAACCAAGTCAGGGAGCCTGACCACCCGATCCCGTTAGTCGCATTTTACGACAAGCATAGTCGCCTCTTTCGGCAAGCATGGGTTGCTGAAGATCTATTTCATTAGGATAATGTTACACCCGACAGTTCTTCCCGCTGTTCGTGTTGCTTATGGTTGAGCAAGTTCTTTTCACGAAACGTTTGTCCTTCCTGTTGAAACACACGCACAGTACTAGTGGACCGCCTCCGTGGTCTAGCGGTAGAGCCCGAAGGGCGGAAGGTCAGGGGTTCGATTCCCGGTCGCGTCATACCAAAAGACGTTAAAAGATGGTACTTGTTGTTATATCCTGTCTTGCGCTCGGCATTAAGGGGCCAAAACAAGGACTGTTCGGCTCCAAGTCAGTATCCTGTGTTTGAGTTGGGTATTCATATTACACTGCGGCATGGTATCTCAGATGGATAGCACTATCGGTCCGGACTTGTACAAGCGGCCGAACACACACACGTGCATGCACGTCGCTTTTTATTTGCAATAATCGTGGACGCGACGTTAAACCCAATTTCGCCTCATCTTCACCCACGCACAGCGACTGGATATGAAAGTAACTCACAAGAAGTGAAAGAATAACGAAAGCTGGTGTATGATTATCTGATACAAAGAATTTATTCAAGACTCGTTCAGTTACAAATATTCAATAAAACATTTGAATTACTGTATAAATAGACATTTGTACAACAACCTGGCAATATGTCATAAACAACAACTTTTCCACAAAATACCAAGAAATACGAAAACGCTCGAGGAGGGCCATGCTGTCCTACTTACCAGCCCCCATCGAGGATTCCATAACATGTTGGTAATGTTGTGTAACATGACATATTTCTAAAGTCTACACTGTGTAGATAGATGACTGTACATATATTGAAGCTCCGTATTTATTGACTCACCATAGACCTTTAAATTACGCTTTTGATATTTGTGGTAAAATAACGATTTCATTCAAAGAAATATCCATATTTGCTTTCTATATACAACGTAGTCCCGTAAATCAAGACTATCCCCGTGAAACACCAAAATACGAATACAAGTTGCAACGTAGCCTGGTTTCCATTCTAACCTCTAATTTAGATGAGGGGCGGTGGGGTAGCCCAGTGGTTAAAGCGTCGGCTCGTCACGCCTAAGGCCCGGATTCGATTCCCCACATGGGTACAATGTGTGAAGCCCATTTTCCGGTGTCCCCCGCCGTGATATGGTTGGAATATTGCTAAACGCGGCATAAAACTATACTCACTCACAATAATTTAGATGCGTAGAGATATAGAACTAGTTTTGTTGGCGACTGTTTTAGTCGCGTACGGATTTTCATCATACATGCATTCATTGCAAAACACATCACACGTGGTAGGCGGACCAATTATGTTTCTCCCTAGGATATTTCTATTCAAACTTAACATAGTTGTTATGCAAGTCTTTCGGTATTCGTTATTTTTTGTTAAATATTAGTCGAAAAAATGTCAATATTGACCAAACTGTGCTTGCGAACAAAGTCTAAAGAGCTGGGATACATTTACCAGTTACCTTCACCGACAAATCTGTAGGTGTAGGTTTCCTTGGCAACAAGCTACATATCATGAGTGCCCAATTTGTCAATAATTATACTGCATTAATGTTGACTTTGACCATTACAAGGTTGCTGCAGAGTAGATAATCATTACGTTCAGTGTGGAATATACGCCTTGTGTACACATATCGACTTATATGTAACCTGGAGCAATATGAATTCATAGACGGAGTACAACCGTGGGATATGTGGTGTCAGAAATAAATTAGAAACTTCAGTAACGATACTGTTGGTGTCGTATAATTGAGAAATCGCCTGAGCTGATGATTCCGGAAGTAGAATTAACGAGCACCGAAGGGGCTCATTGATCTGTTGATTCCGGAAGTAGAATTAACGAGCATCGAAGGGGCTCGTTTGTTCTACTTCCGGAATCAACACTATCGAGTGATTTCTCCGACTCGACCATGTTCTGGTTGATATATATTTATTTTACAATTCTTCAAAATAACCTGCAGTTTGGTATGTTATAATTGTTAACATGTACACGTTCAGAATAGCCAGAGAATTCCTGGACCAGAATCAACTGCAGCAAAAATAGCGTGTCATCATCATAATGGTTTAAATTGGTTTGTTGAACGGTGTACTGACTTGGACATCGTTTGATCAGAGGTATGTGTGTTGTCATGGAAACATATTTTGTAAAGGACGAAGTTTGATAAGGGTCCTTTTTGTCAGATTGGAAAGTAACTGAACATTTTGTAATAATTTTACGAAAACTATGAACCGTGTTCGTATGATTGACAACTGACCTTTCCCTCTTACACTTGCAAGTGTTGGACTTTGGATTTGATAAAGTACAGAGTTACGTGACAAACGTGGGGAAAAGAACGAATTTATATGGACCAGGATGAATAGTTTTTGTTGTTGTTTTAAAAAAAAAATATATATGTTTTTTTTAGTTGTTTTTTTTTAACATTTTATTTCACCTTTTCCCCGTTACATGAGGAGGATGGCCAAGGATGAATATTTTACTTTGTGTTTGTACATTGTTTACCTACAATAAAATAAGTTTGGGTCAAAGGCGTGCTCATGTTCAAATATTAGAAAAACTCTTGTTTGATAAATATTAGCCCCACTTCTACATATTCAGTTCAGTCAGAAAAGTACAAGTGTTGAAAAGAACTGTTTCAGCGTTTAATCCTCGGAACAGATCTTTCTAAAAGTTCCAAAAATATTCCTTGTCATGCCTCGTTCCTTTTTCTTTACTCGATCTTTCTGGTAGAACTACATAGGTATCTATATAGGTGTATTCATATTCAGTTTCATTTAGATGCCTTCACCTTTCACTGAAGGACCTTTAACAGCAATGAGCCAACCCCTTCAGGCCACAGCAAGGGATATATCTGCTGACATTGTATACACCCACCTGACCCTTGATGATAAACATAATACATTCTGCTGATTCTGCTGATTCACGCTTATTCTTTCCAACTATAAAAGCAAACGTGACGTCATATCGGTGTATTGTCGCCATAATTTCATATGACATCACAGAAGACTTTATGGTCGTCGTTCCACAAATAGATTGACAATGCTGGTGTCTCTGTACTCGATATCAAACTGTCATTATTCACATTCTGTACAGTATAACCACATACAAGAAACAATGGATCATCTGTCCCGTTAATTGTTATACGAATGATTTCACTTGAGACAAATAGTCGCAATTTCTCATGGCTCATAAGTTATTCTCCAAAAATACCCCAACACACCGAGGCTGTTCGTATGAACGCAACACCATGCTGCAAATAAGCCTACTTATCATAATGTTATGGATACTCTCCACAGAACAAACTATAGCGATTTAATTACATGTACAGGCAAGGGTTAAAAACATAGAATAATTCTAAAATTGGGATGATAAATATGAAAAATATTAAAAACACTCATATGTGTCACTATTGAACTGTAAGTGTCCGAAGATGAATTCATATGAACCATATCTTATCGACATTGTGCGACTGGAGTGTTGATGTAAAATGGCCACAACAAAATCCTATTCAAATGATATTCACGTTGAGATCAAATATATGCCTAGTTATTTGGTATGGTACGATCCTCAATTTCGACAAATACTCACATTCCTCATTTATATTGTTTGCTTTCTTCTCTTTTCATAAAAAAATCTCATTCCATTACCAAAGGGACACCTGTTTGTAAAACAAGATATTTAAAGGGGTAAAAATCAAATTCTGCCACTGAAACCATGTTTTGTTTCTTTACGCTAATGATAACCACAAATGTGTTGTGTATTTGTTCATTGTGGTGCAACCGTCATTTATTAATAAAAGCGACAAAACCATTTCCATAATTAAAGGAAATCTCTGCGAAAAACATAGCTCAATGTAAGATTCCGACTTTATCATACGCTTGTGTTTATGAATCACTATCAAAAGTAATGATACAAGGTGTATGAGAGAAGGCGAGCGTATTCTGCACCACCATTGGCACCCGTCATAAACACATGCAAAGGCATGTCAAGTGTTTAACTGAACAAACACGGAACATATGGTACAAGTCAAAATAGATAATTGCATCACTATAACATTAAAGCAAATAACATAACATAACACTATAACAAACATTTATTCTAAATAAATGCATCATATCATCTACTGTCCTCGAAGTCATGCATAGCTGTACAATAACTGTCTATTTCGGGGGCACGGGTGGCCTTGTTGTCTAAGGCGCCACAATTCTCTGTGCAGAGTTGCTTCCCTTGGAGACGTCAGAAACCTATGATTGTGGGTTCGAATCTTGGTTCGCCCAGATTATGTTTCTAGGTTTGTCAGCACCATACCCGTGCCTGTGGGTTTCATCGAAGTGGCAAACGTCTAAGACCTGCATCACTTCAGGCTTTCCTCCCACATTAAGCTGACACACCGTGATATAACTGGAATACTGTTAAAAGTGGCGTTAAACACCACTCACTCAATGTCTATATATTTCATATTTATGAAATGCGTTTTTATCAGTATGACACACTAAAATATATAGCTTCGTATTTACAGAAATCTATCTTGCAGCGTGTTTTTACTTAATAAAGTATCGATAAGTGTCACCACATTTCGCCTATATTTCACATAAAACTTAAATATGACACAACCTAAAAGTAGCTAAATCTAAATCGCTGACGTTGGATTTCATAACCAGCTACATACTCTAAATAGCACATGCTAACCCTTTCGTTAACACCTGGCGTCAAATTCATATACTGTCCATCACTAGTTTGCCTTTTGCTACCAATGGAATCTGTTTTGGCACAAATCAAAACTAATTTGTCTCTGGCGGGCGTCGACGTTTAATTCCATTTGTGGAGCTAATCACTCAGTCCTGTTCTCAGAGTGTGTCTAACAGTCGTTCATGTCTACAGAAGTTCTTATTTGATAATATCCACTTCATGTTGGAATTTTTTTTTTTTAAAAGCGCTTTACATGAATTAATAACTCGCCATGGACTACTGCAGTCGGTACGCAAAGTACGATGTCTGATTAGATGGGGTAATCTAAAGGTTCAACCGTTTGCTCACCGCACCAAAACTCCCAGTTCGATTCCGACATTGGTAGAATGTGAAACCCGTTCTTGGTGTCTGCTCGCTGTGATATAACTGGAATATGACTCGAGGCATAAAACCATACTCACTCACTCACTGAAGTGGGCCAAACTGTCCGCTCCAATAGATGTTTAAGAACTTACCAGAATCACCTTCGAACAGTGTAAACCACGGCTTTTAATACCAACTATGAAAGGGGACATTGCACTGTTTCTGATTTGTGAAAACGCATAAAGAGGAATAGAGTCTCCAATACCTCAATACGTTCTTAACGATTTTCAACTGACCAAGTCTTGTCCTTGGTTTGAATATTGACCACTCGTTAACCCATATAAACAAGCCATTAGTTATAATTATGTAGTAATTAAGTAATTATTAGGTATTAAAGAAATCAGTGTATATGATCACAATTATAATATGCTGCTGACCAAGTCTTGTCCTTGGTTTGAATATTGACCACTCGTTAACCCATATAAACAAGCCATTAGTTATAATTATGTAGTAATTAAGTAATTATTAGGTATTAAAGAAATCAGTGTATATGATCACAATTATAATATGCTGCTGACCAAGTCTTGTCCTTGGTTTGAATATTGACCACTCGTTAACCCATATAAACAAGCCATTAGTTATAATTATGTAGTAATTAAGTAATTATTAGGTATTAAAGAAATCAGTGTATATGATCACAATTATAATATGCTGCTGACCAAGTCTTGTCCTTGGTTTGAATATTGACCACTCGTTAACCCATATAAACAAGCCATTAGTTATAATTATGTAGTAATTAAGTAATTATTAGGTATTAAAGAAATCAGTGTATATGATCACAATTATAATATGCTGCTGACCAAGTCTTGTCCTTGGTTTGAATATTGACCACTCGTTAACCCATATAAACAAGCCATTAGTTATAATTATGTAGTAATTAAGTAATTATTAGGTATTAAAGAAATCAGTGTATATGATCACAATTATAATATGCTGCTTGTGTATGTTTGGATGACATTGTATCCGAACTTGCTTATACAGCCCCGGGTCTCTCTGACCTATAAACAGTACATAGGCAAGATGCTACACATTCCGATATATTAAATTGTGCATAATGGTATATCAAGAACTGACACACCATAGTCGACATATTTGGTTGCATATAGAAATAATGCGTACAATACATATTTTACATATACGATACCGATTGTGTACTTGACACCATGTATTGGAATATATAGAATATATATCACAGTAAAATGTGTTGCGACAAAGAGATCGTTTAGCATTGGTCGGCATATATACATATATACTGAATATTCCACAAATATAGTTGTACAGTATGAAGCCATTGTTAATTCCATTACAACGAATATGTTGTCGCATCTTGATATTCCGTTTTTCGACAACCATTTGGGTAAATGTTACATTCACAACCGTAGAAGAAAGGTCATGGGTCACATCCCCATAGGGATACCAGTTATATCCTCCATTCTCTTGAGGCGTCCTGCTGCCTGCTATTCTCAATGCGCATGCGTATAGCTTCCTTGAGATGCTCAATCTGGCTTTTGATTGGCGCAGACTGACTTTCTTTCTTCTTCCTCTTTGTAATCTTCCGCATATAGTCCCTCAAACCAAGAGCTAGCTCCCTAGTAGGAAAGAGGTCAAGTGTTAATAGAAGCAATTAATATCTAGTCTACCTATCTAGGCCCATTTCTGGTGTCCCCCGCCGTGATATTGCTGGAATATTGCTAAAAGCGGCGTAAAACCATACTCACTCACTCACTCTACCTATCTAGTAATCCCAAACATCAATTATGTAAATTTTAAAATTTGACATCAGTACCAAGTTCCAGTGACGCCAATCAATTTGATTGCATACAAAATAACCTAATCGCTGATCAGTAATAATATATACTTTGTTCATGTTCCTAAGACGACTTGCCGTAATGACGGTAAAACATCTCATGGCATCTTTCTATGCTTTGTATACTGATTAAGTTAACGCCATTTTCAACAGTATTTCAGTTATATCACGACGTATCAGCTTGATGCGGGGGAGAAAAAGGGATGCAGGTGTTAGATGTTTACCACCCACCAGCACAAGTATGGTGCAGACAACCCTAGAAACATAATAAGGATGAACCGTGATTCGAACCCACGATCATACAAATTTGGCTCGACTATTGGTCGCATCTCTGCACAACGAGTGAGTGAGTGAGTGAGTTGGGTTTAACGCTGCTTTTAACAGTATTCCAGTTATATCGCGGCGTGTCAGCTTAATGTGGGAGGAAAGCCCGAAGTGATGCAGGTCTCTGACGTTTACCATTTCGGTGAAACCCACGAGCACGGGTATGGTGCTGACAAACATAGAAACATAATTTGGGCGAACCGGGATTCGAACCCATAATCATAGGTTTCTGGCGTGCCCAAGGGACGCAATTCTGCACAGCGAATCGCGGCGCCTTGGACGACTGGGCCACCCGTGCCCCACTCTGCACAACGAAAATCAGCGCCTTAGAGGCCCAGGCTACCCGTGTCCCCGGCTGTCGTTACAGTCAAATAGGGTATCTCATATACATTGGAACCTTGTTAGCCCGGACCCTGTGAGTCCAGAGACCAGGCATGTGCTTCACGTCGTGGAACCATTTTCCAATCTATATTAAAACTTTGTGAAACTGTTAGACACTGTGTTAAAGTGAGACATTGCCTCTCTTTAATCACAGCTGTATTGACATACATAATAAAACTGAGTTTGCAGACAAACATTTGGGATCTGAATGACTTGAATCAAACTTCAGTCTAGTCCCCCTTTAATTCGGGTGTTAACTTTGAACGGTACCGCCCGGATTATTAATGTTTCAACAAGTGTCAATAAAAGAAAACAGTTTATATTGACAACGCTGAAATGTTTGAGATGCCCCCTGTAAACGATACATACTCGTAGTCGACGAAGCCATCCGTATTCCTGTCTAGCTTCTCCATCATAATGTCCATGGAGCGAGAGCTGAGGGGGATGCCGTCGTTCTGTCAAAACAACGCACACTATTTGATCCACTGTGTAAACATGGTCTTTGTTGTGAAGAGGGGAAAACAAAATATTTTTATTCGATGAGTAATTTAACCTTGAATGATTTACAGAAAAGTGAAAAGCAATAGCGTCAGTCAACATCGTTTTACGTTTATAAGTAAATGAAAATGTGTTGGAATTCATCGCCAAACCCCTATGAAATATATATTGGATATAGGGGGATAACTCACCAATAGTCCGTTCCTCAGTTCCTCTCTATCCAGTGTGTAACTCTTGTCCTTATCAAGGCTGTGTAGCAAGTCTATAAGTCGGAGGTTCTTTCTGCGCATGTAGTCGAAGAGGATGCTGGACGGATCATCGGTGTCAAGAACAACGGCCTTGCCATTGCGCTTGAAATCCTCATGACGCATGGCTACGCCATATTTGACCCGAAGTGGACGCTTTGTCTGGACTTCATCGAGAAGGTCTGTGAAGTCTTCTCCAACAGGAACTTCCTGTAACACAAATAAGTGAGTGAGTGAGTGAGGTGTATAACATTATTGGAACAGCCGGAGGAAGCGAGCGATGCCATGCAGATTGACGGCGCTTTTAGCAATTTTGTAGATTTTGTTTCATGGTCGGGGACATTTACAATCTCATTAAAATCAGACCTTAGTTCTCGCTACCGCTAAACAAAGATCTGAGGACATCCCATTAGGGGTCACGTCAGAACGACCTTTCATCCGACCAATCAGTGCGTCGCTTACCAGATTATGAAAGTGACAGTCGGAAACTGATTTCTAGTCATGCAATCTCGAAAACTTTAACATGGTGTATTCCGAACGATAGTTACGGGTTTAACCACTGAATCCTTACAATCTAGACCATCTATTAGCCATTCCAGAATGTTTTTTTGTTCAGGTTTCAAATTTGTAATCGAGAATTTGTCAAAATATGTTTCGAAGCGTAGTCGCCAATTTGAAATTTGTGCCGTGAAGCACGAGAAAGCTGCCTTCTGATTGGTCATTCCACTGGTCGGCCAAAGTTCGCGCAAGGTCGGCCTGACGTGACCCGTAATGGGGTGTCCTCAGATCTTTGTTTAGCGGAAGCGAGAACTAAGATCTGATTTTAATGAGATTGGGGACATTTAAAAATGGACACTATACCCGTGCGGCGAATCGAACTCGATTTTCATCGTGAGGAGTGAGTGAGTGAGTGAGTGAGTATGGTTTTACGCCGCTTTTAGCAATATTCCAGCAATATCGCGGCTGGGGGACACCAGAAATTGGCTTCACACATTGTACCCATGTCGGGAATCGAACCCGGGTCTTCGGCGTGACGAGCGAACGCTAGGCTACCCGACCGCCCCTCATTGTGAGGAACGTACGTTGTAACATCTAGGCCACCCCATCACCCCTTGAACTGGCCGTGGGTTGGCCTAGTGGTTCAAGCGTTGGCTCGTCATTCAAAAGAGCCAGGTTCGATATGGGAAGTACGTTTCCGGTGTCTTTCTGTCGTGACATTGCTGGAATATTGCTACAATGAGTGAGTGACATGTGAAACCTCAGTCACTCAGGTGCATATCTTGATGAGCATGTTGTACTGCATGAGCATCTACAAGGGACATATTCCCGAGCACCGTCAGTACTTCACTGTCAGTCGACACTACGTCCCTCAATCACCCGTAAATACCGTGGACTGACATGCGGTGTGATGGTGACGTGTGTCTTATTTTAGACAGCTAATGAAATGAGGTCGTGTAGAAACTCACGGTCGTCAACTCCGTGCACGAACTTTGTGCGAACCCTACCATTGCCTGATATTGAAGCAATGTGTAGAGCACGAGAATGTCAAACGAGAAACATACACGTTTGTGAGAGGCAAAATAAGAGCTCATTGCATTCGTCACCACTCGCCCCTTTCCGTAACCTGCAAGAAGCTTGTCCCGGAATAACTCGAGTTGGTCACGAATGAGCTCATTGGTCTGAATACTCGCAGATTTGCCTCTTGCTGAAATCAGGATGGACCTTCATTCGTTAGTTATAAATTGCGACTACATTGCAAAGGGACCGTATGTATTCCCGTTCATGCAACTAAGCTTCATAAGCCTCTTTTGTCATACGGCAACGAAACAGCTTGGAATACCCAAAAGGTTTTCCCGTTTGAGGTGTAATGATTTTGGTTGTGACGGGGCTCTGTAAATAATCTAGTCTGGACCAGACAATCCAGTGATTAATATCCTGAGCATCATCAACGCAGTTGGGATCGATGACATGCAGCAACCAAGTCAGCGAGCCTGACCACCTATTGTCGCCTTTTACGGCAAGCATAGTCGCCTTTTACGGCAAGCATAGTCGCCTTTTACGACAAGCATAGTCGCCTTTTACGGCAAGCATGGGTTGCTGAGGTGTAATGACATCACCCATGTGATATATTTGTATATACGGTATATAAACCAGCGTGCAAAAGCAGGTATACACCCATGTTTGATGGTAGCTAAAAGGAAACAAATGAGAAAATTATTGCTATTCGATGGTGTTGTATTTGATACAGGTTTCACCGTTGTGTTTTGACCTGAGGTTTGCAGTGTTTTCGCGACTCTTTTCAGCCTTGTAACATGATGACGTTGCAGGTTTTCAGTCACGTCCGATTTTCAAGTGAAGACTTTCTTTTCCCCGGCAGTTAATTCTGTGTTATGAAGAGTATACGCATATTGTACTGATATAGTAAATTATAAATACTTTAGACTTACGGAGAGGTCAAGGTCAATGAGGGCGGTAGCGTCATCTTCAGATATTGCTTTGAGAATACTCATAGCGCCCTCGGTTGTCAACGGGTTGATTCCGATCTAGAGGAAATACAAACAACTTTTTGCCATAAAGATTCTCATGACGGAAATACAACAGTTAGCTAGAGCAAACGTGATACCAAATATTGTGAAATATTTAAAGAAAAAGAATCTGTCCGCCTTAGGGCACGGGTGGCCCTGTTGTCTGAGGCGCCGCGATTCCCTATGCAGAGTCGCGTCCCTTGGGCACGCCAGAAACCTATGATGGTGGGTTCGAATCCCGGTTCGCCCAGATTATGTTTCTAGGTTTGTCAGCACCATACCCGTGCTCGTGGGTTTCACCGAAGTGGTAAACGTCTGAGACCTGCCTCACTTCGGGCTTTCCTCCCACATTAAGCTGACACGCCGTGATATAACTGGAATACTGTTAAAAGCGACGTTAAACCCAACTCACTCACACTGTCCGCGTTATCCGAATGGTGAGTCTATTTAGCGCTATAGACCATACGTATTCGGAATACCAAATCTCCCATCCGTCTACCTAATCATTGATATCCGAGCAGAGGCACATTTGAACAACGTCCTTGAATAGTCAGACACGAAATCTCAGTTCAGAAAAAAAGGTTATTCCTTTGAAACTCTCATGTGTCAAGGTTGCAGTTGCCCATTCACTTACTCTCCGCCGCCAGCGTTACTTTCTACAGAACCACAGAACACCCTACAACATTCATACCAGATCTTAAATAGAACTCCTTTCTGTCCATAACAATATCCGTGGTCAAGTGGGAAGAGCTTTTGTCTGGAGAGCGGAAAGGCGGTGGTTCGATTCCCGGCGTCGTCACATTGAAAGCGGTTATAAGAGGGTACCTGTTACTCTCACTGGCGCTCGGCATGAAGAGGATTACACAAGGACTGGTCGGCTCTGAATCTGAGTAGGGCAAACTGAGGCAATAAATCGCACTTGGCTAGCACTATTAAACATGCGGACTAGTACAAGCAGCAACACACAAGTGCATGCACTTCGCTACACATGTGCAATGATTATAATCTTGAACACGACGTTAAACCCTATTTCACCTTACTCAGTACCCAGATCAGGATTTGTCCATCGTATATTGATAGAAAGCGAAGAGTCAACCATTAACATATGAATATGTCCTCTTCGGAAACACATCCTGGAAATGATGCCCGGCCGTTTCTCTCCGTTTTCTCTATTGTACCTATCTCAAGCTGCACCGATCAATGAGACGTATCTTATAGACTTTGAGAGAGGTTAACCGACCAATAAGAAGTATTTTCAAGACTTTCAAGAGAGTTGCGTCGACCAATGAGACGACCAATAGATTCTGAGAGAGCTTCACCGACCAATGAGACAACCAATAGATTCTGAGAGAGCTGCACCGACCAATGAGACAACCAATAGATTCTGAGAGAGCTACACCGACCAATGAGACAACCAATAGATTCTGAGAGAGCTGCACCGACCAATGAGACAACCAATAGATTCTGAGAGAGCTGCACCGACCAATGAGACAACCAATAGATTCTGAGAGAGCTACACCGACCAATGAGACAACCAATAGATTCTGAGAGAGCTACACCGACCAATGAGACAACCAATAGATTCTGAGAGAGCTACACCGACCAATAGATTCTGAGAGAGCTACACCGACGAATGAGACAACCAATAGATTCTAAGAGAGCTGCATCCACCAATGAGACGAACAATAGATTCTGAGAGAGCTACACCGACCAATGAGACGACCAATAGATTCTGAGAGAGCTTCACCGACCAATAGATTCTGAGAGAGCTACACCGACCAATGAGACGACCAATAGATTCTGAGAGAGCTACACCGACCAATGAGACAACCAATAGATTCTGAGAGAGCTACACCGACGAATGAGACAACCAATAGATTCTAAGAGAGCTGCATCCACCAACGAGACGAACAATAGATTCTGAGAGAGCTGCACCTACCAATGAGACGACCAAAAGATTCTGAGAGAGCTACACCGACCAATGAGACGACCAAAAGATTCTGTGAGAGCTTCACCGACCAATGAGACGTACCTTAAGGACTTTGAGAATCTTGTTCTTTAGCAGGCCGTTGAGCAGAAGGCGGAAGGCACTGATGTTGATCCTGTTGGCTTCGAGGTCCAGTTCCACCAGGGTCTTGTTCTTGACCAGGGCTTTGGACATCTCCTGGCTGCCCTCCATCCCAAATCCATTCCAGGACAGAAACAGTCGGGTCAGGCCTGTATTGGTCTGGAGGGGAGGAGATGGGGGTCAAGAGATCGCTGGATCAGCTATATCAGCTACATTATAACAATATTAAAATAATAATATCTAAATATTGCAGACCAATTGAGCCATGTTTTTTTTGTTTGAGGTAGTGTTTTTGGCTTTGGAGTCAGCACTTTAAAACAAACAGGGGGCTAGGGTGGCCCAAGCGGTCTGAGGCGCTGCAATTCGCTGTTCAGAGTTGCGTCCCTTGGGCACACCAGAATTCTAGGATCGTGGGTTCGAATCCCGGTTCGCCCCAACTATGTTTCTAGGTTTTCAGCACCATACCCGTCCTCGCAGGCTTCACAAAAGTGGTAAGAGTCTAAGACCTGCAAGACTTCGGGCTTTCCTCCCACATTCAGGTGACACGCCGTATTTATTGTTCAACTGGAATTCTGTTCAAAGCGGCATTCAACCCAACCCATTCACTCACTCAAAACATACAATATTATTGTGTGAGAGGAGCACCAAAACAATACCATTTGAACGCCGAAATATAAGTGCAATAATCTTGGACGCGACGTTAAACCACATTTCACCTCACCCCATTTCGAACGCATTTCACGCGTCGTACAAAAACAACTGTCTTGGAGATAAAGATTAGAATTGACTTGCAGCAAAGTAGAAGCGATTCTATCACCGTGAACATAATTTGCCATTGTCATGTGATTTGGGTGTAAGCTAAGATACATTTCAAAATTAAAAGGTATATCTGAATATAAATAAGGATCGTCCTGTCCAAAGCCTGACCTTGCTTTGGTTTAGCGCTTGCGTAATAATAAGATAGCACGAACACGACCATGAATCATACCTATTACCCGACGCTTGAACAATAAAACTTGTCAAAATGGACCATCGCAAACAGATAAATGGATACAGAAAAAAACGAGATAGATTTGGCTCGCAGAAGATTCTAAAACATAAACATCGATTTAATTGCCTCTAAATTTATAAAATAATGTATAGAAAACAATACAAAAATCATCATCGATGTAGTTGCCTCTAGTTAGGCAAATATATAACGAACAAAAAAATCAACATTGCTATATTTACTTCTCAGGAAAATATGTAACGATCAATAAAAAGTAAACATCGATATTTTTCTTCTTAGGCACATATATAAAGATGTCGTATTTTAAAGTTTTTTCCATCACTGCTGTTGTGGAAGATAGAAGGCCCCGCTTTCATCACGGTGTTGTGAAGCCGGCATGTGGTCATACGATATGCTTGTCTTCATATCGATTTCATACCTCCATACATCTCATGTGTCCATATGTTGTCTTTATACAGTGCACATGCTTCATTGCGACAGAAACTGCCTGACAACAGAATAACACTAGGGAACATTACGTCCTCCAAATATGATTGATTATTCAACGCCCTGGGACAATGTCAAAACATTTCATTCGAGTTTACTTAATACTGAAAATTGTAATAATATTTCACTAGATATGTTGATGTCAAAATGCAATTTCGGCTGATACTGCTACGACCTATATTTTAATAAACTAGAAAGTGTATGTATAAAAACCTCCTTAGGGCGTTCTGTCTTCGGGTTGAGGTACGTTATCTTGGATTTGACGGCGCTAAATAAAACATTTGAAACCTCATGCTGTTCCAAAATTCCATTGACGGCTGTCAAACATACTGCCTACATAGCTACATAGCTCTACGTTAAAAATGTCATCCTCCTTTGTACAGGGTAAAATAACTCCATTCTATATTGGAGCGCCTCTGTGGTCTAGTGGTAGAGCGTGGTCGAGTGGGGTTCGATCCCCGGCCGCGTCATACCAAAAGACGTTGAAAGATGGTACTTGTTGTTACCATGCCTAACGCTCGGCATTAAAGGCCTTAAACAAGGACTGGTCGGCTCGGAATCAGTCTGAGTGGGGTATTCATGCTCAGCTGCAGCATGGTTTGTTTGTTTGTTTGTTTGTTGTTTTACGCCGCACTCAGCAATATTTCAGCTATATGACGGCGGTCTGTAAATAATCGAGTCTGGACCAGACAATCCAGTGATTGACATCATGAGCATCAAGCTGCAGCATGGTACCTCAGTCCGGACGAGTACGGGGTAGAATAGGTCTTCAGCAACCCATGCTTGCCGTAAAAGGCGACTATGCTTGTCGTAAGAGGTGACTACCGGGATCGGGTGGTCAGGCTCGCTGATTTGGTTGATGCATGTCATCGTATCCCAATTGCGTGGATCAATGCTCATGATGTCAATCACTGGATTGTCTGGTCCAGACTCGATTATTTACAGATCGCCGTTATATAGCGGGAGTATTGCTTTGTGCGGCGTTAAACAACAAACAAACAAACAACCCAGTTGTAGGACCTCTGTTTTGGTGGAAGCCTCGGTGGCTGAGTGGGTTAGCTCGCTGACTTAAGTGTGCTGGCGATGAGGTGCCTCACACTTACAGTGTGGGTTCGAATCTCGGATGGGACTCAATCCAAACAAGTACGGTTCATAGCTTTCGGCCATGGGAGCCGTGCCAATTTACACTTGTCAGAGGGGTACACAAAGTATGTGATCTAGAACACCAGTTGTCGGACTTTCATTTTGGTGGAAGCCTCGGTGGCTGAGTGTGTTGGATCGCTGACTTTGTGTGCTGGCGATTAGGTGCCTCACTCTGGCAGTGTGGGTTCGAATCTCGGATGGGACTCAACCCAAACAAGTACAAGTATCTGTATTTTACAGACCACTATATAAATGGCACAGTGTGTTGAATATTTTTAGCGTCTTCTTTCGAATCAGGCTCAAATGCAAGCAGGGGCGCGAATGGATTGAGGTATAAATAAAAAGTAGAATGGAGATAAAATACGCTGGATGCTCGAGGATGTGAAAACTATTGTTTCATGTCTTCATGTGTTCCTAATTCCAGTCCTAAAATATTCTGGCAGTCCAGAGGTCATTGGCTTCGCGACCGCCTCCGTGGTCTAGTGGTAGAGCGTCAGCCCGGAGAGCGGAAGGTCCGGGGTTCGATCCCCGACAGCGTCATACCAAAAGACGTTAAAAGATGGTACATGTTGTTACCCTGTCTAGCGCTCGGCATTAAGGGGCTAAAACAAGGACTGGTCGGCTCGGAGTCAGTATACTGTGTCTGAGTGGGGTATTCATGTTAAACTGTGGTATCTCTGTGAGCTAGCACTATAAATCGGCATCAGTCCGGACTAGTACAAGCAGCCACACAAACACACACACACGTACATGCACGTCGCTATATAAGTGCACTAATCTTGGACGCGACGTTAAGCCCAATTCACTTCACCTCACCTCCTTGGCTTCGCCAATTTAGCAAAATATCCGTTTTGGAATCCTCACAATTGCAATTTATGTGATTATCATTTTGCATCATGTAATTACTAAAAGCACAATCACTTACCTTTCAGTTGACGTTAACAGATTGCCTTTAGCTTAAAACAATACATTAAAAGAAAGAGAAATCTTTGATACGGACCCTATTCACCAAAATATTTATTTTCTGTTGCATCGCGACAATTAAGTGTGGTATATTAGATCTGAAAACACCGAAGATCTCCTTTAACTTAAAGTACGTGACATATAAACGGAAGATATAGACTTTATTTAAACTGTATGCACCGGTAATACCAACAAATCAGTAATGGTTTGTGTTTAGATAGCTTGCCTCTGTTGTTTGACGATCTCATGCAATGTTTTATCAAACATACTGGTGCCGAGGAATCGCCAAGTTTGACACGAACGAACATAATGTCTCACTCAATAAGCTGTGAAATAATAAAACGGGCCATTGGGTTTTCTTAAGGTTCTACCGAGGGATCGATACAACGGACAATGCATGATAATGTCGATATCACAAGATTGGTTGTTACAATTTTCTCCCAGTGCAGGTTATGAAAAAATCTAACATTAAATCGTTACACGTTCCCAAAGGCTTTTCGCCAGTCATTTTAATGCGTGATGTGTTTATCAGCCTTGCGCTTGTTTTATAACGCTAGTGCGATGGTCTCATAAACAAAATTCGAGGTCTAGATGTTTATTCACAGTCGTAATAAAGGACCTTACGTGGTGCGCATGCGCACGTTTAACCGGAAATGATGATTTGATATATTTATTGTTTTGGCCGTCGCCTGTTAGTTATTGAACCGACGCGAACGAATTGTGGAACTTACCTGTAGCCCCTGACATATTGCCACAGCTCCTTTCAGACGGAGATGGTTCCAGCTTAGGTCGAGACTCTTCAGGGAAGCGTTCACAGCTGAAAGTAGACCACTGAGAGACTATTTGACATAAACATTCAATTACAAGTTTCGCTACACGCGCACATTATCCAGTATTTTTTTAAGCTGCAGACAACAATATTCAAGCTATACTATAGCTATTCAAAGAATTTTTTTTAAAAACACCCGATTCTTTCACGTTACCATAGTTAATGTGTCATGCCAGACAGATTAACAGTTAATCGCCCATTAATTTCCTCTTGCGACGCCTATTACGACAAGCATGGGTTGCTGGATAACAGTTCTAACCGGGATCTACATGGGGCTAGACAGACAGCTGTGAGACAGACACTACGTTATTCTTGAACACAATACCGCCATAAAACATTGAATGACAACACGTGTTTCCATGACAACCAAACCGCCTGGTCTCTTCCAACATGGCAATATTATACATACGATATCCATGTTACCATGACGACAGACACGAGGTTTTCTTCATAATTGAGAATAAAAGAATGCATATGGAAACATTCTATTCTTGAACAGGTTGGTTGGTTGGCTTGTTGTTTAACGCCACACTCAGCAACATTCCAGCTATATAACGGCGGTCTGTAAATAATCGAGTCTGGACCAGACAATCCAGTGATTGATATCACGAGCATCGATCCACGCAATTGGGATCGATGACCATACATAAACCAAGTCAGCGAGCCTGACAACCCGATCCCGTTAGTCGCCTTTTACGACGAGCATAGTCGCCTTTTACGGCAAGCATGATTCTTGAACAGGATGTGGCGTTAGTGTCTCCTCGCCCCTTATGGGATCAGCCCCTGCAGGCAATATTAGTGTCCGCCATGGCACGCTGTAAAGTGACCCTTTCCGTCTGTTTAAAGTCAAGCCATGGTGTGCCCCTTGGACTCACCTAAAACCTGAATTTATATGGCCCTTGTACATTTTGAATAGCAGAGCATTACGCCAACAATTACAAGGAGGCCATATATACTCATGTCAATATACAAGCATGTTATCGATGACACAAGAAGCTCTTAAGATTGTAAGAGAGTCGTACATCAACACGCCCTGCCCTAGTCAAGTTAGAATTATATAACTGTCACCTGTAAGTGTCAACTCTTAAATATTTTATCAACAGGCAAACAGGGGCAGCTGGCACTGAAGAATATATTACCTCCTTGGTCCTTAGGGTAAGGATTAAACATTTCCATAAATGTTATTGCAAATTATGGTACATATACCTAAAGTGTATCTTGAAGTCATAAATGGTTTAACTTTCAATATCACCCCCTTGACAAGCAGCTACAGGGGATTATATGGTTCGGCTTGAGACTTTGAGAATGTACTGAAAATGAATGATGTATGTGTGTCTATAATTTTCCATATTGTTCCGCCGTCTGTGGACGAGTCGTGGGTGGAATTGCGTCACTCACTCACTTTACGCCCAGTGGAATCTGTTTTGGCTGATAATCGAGACTGGTTATTATCTGGCATTGACGTCTTGCATTTACTAGCCTCCTCATCCGCCCATCGACAGTTACAAAGATATATACGGAGGAGAAATAACCGTAAGATTATTATGAGAATATTCCAACATTATACAGGAAAAACTTCAAGATTTTTTATCACCAGTTACGTTGAGAAATTCAATGCAGATACAAAGTCATGCATATCTTAGAACTGTGTTTTATTCAAGGTCTCATTAAAGCCCCATCATACGCATGGGGTAACTTGTTCACGTGTTTAAGGGGGCGCCCTGTACTATCTGTCTTCACGTAAGTCATGTGATGAGATCCACACAAAAAGTATATTAAAATGTAATTGGCTTTCGCCGGATTCCCATTTCATAATCAGTGATATCTTGCTTTGATTTAACTACCTTCGCTGAAAAACAATGCTCATTAACTACAGATGATGTTTTCAGGGATTCAAATAATGAGATATCCGGTACTTCAATTTTGCAAAATTATTCTTCTTTAAGAGACTTTATTTAGAAATTTCACGGAGATATTAAAAATGGATTCTCTAACATGTGTCAACATTAATGGAAGCGACAAAACAATTAATCGCAAGAAAAAATAATTATATTGAATTGAACGATGCGACGATATCATTTGAAACCAAAAACATAATCAAAAATAAAACAAAATTGAAATTGTAGAATTAAATATTTTCACTAAAGCACCTTTTTATGATCAGAGAAATGTCCTCAGTCACATTAAGATGAATCAGTTAGGGATTTTCCTAAAATGTTTTTGAATCATTAACATTATGCGTGTTGTAGAATCACGATTCATCGATCATAATTAGGATTTCAATACACAACACCTAATTGGACCCATTTTGTCCCCAGATAGTTGATTCAAAGCGACAAATTTAAGGAAAGTGAATTTGCCAGCAGGATTCTGTACAATGGGAACGCTTCTACGCTGATGCACCATACTAACTGTGAAATTGAATAACCTCTCCAACATCAGAGTAATAAAGCCATGGGTCTCTGAATAAAGCTATTTATTTCTAGCCCTCAGGCTTATGAGCACACCACCGTTTTTCACATGATCAATTTATATGACATTATTTGGAGCATGTGTGATATTTTCTTGACAAACATTCAAAATGATTATTTCTATTCTGGCTGTGATTGTATGCTTGTTAATAAAGGTTGGATTCCGTGTCAACATGCTGGGGTCATTTTAATCTGATTACAGAGTTTAAGATCTTTGTTGAGCAAAGAAATGTCGTATTTGAACATCAGTTGCTATTGTAAACCAAATGTACTATGCGCGTAATCGGATTGGTTTAAAAGCGATGATAAATGGAATTTGAAACCAAAAACGTTCATGATTAATCATGACGTACAATGTATGTGTTCTTTTAAGAGATGAAGATAATTTATTGTGAGTGTAATTTAGTAGTTTATGCCCAGAAAATTAATTTTGTCTTTCCATGGAGTGAGCGAATATATATACAAATTTATTACAGAATTCTCACGACACAGGACACCAAGGATGGATTTTGGAACTTTATGTTGAGAATCGAACCTGGATTTTCGGTACAACAAACCAACCATTTCACCACCGGGCAACCCCATTGGTTACCGTATTTAACTCCTGAAAACACCGAAACACCTCCAACTTAATTACAAGCGACAAAACCCTTAAATTCCAAACACAGCTACGATGCCCGTATTAAATACGTAACAATCGAATAACCGTTTTTTGTTTGTTTCATTACAAGCCACCATCAAACATTGGTGTCTACTGTATTATGCCCGGCATTAATTAGACAGTCATGGTATTCCAAGTATAGCGTTTGCTTACCTATGGCTTTGCCAATGAAAATACCACCATTTTCCCGGAAACAGTTGTGACTGAGGTTAAGTTCCCGAAGGGTCTTGGATTTCTGAAACAGAGTGTTCACAATATATTTTAAAATTAACAACCTGAGACACCCCGTTAATTCGGATACATATACTTAAATCGTCACTTGAAATTTAGCTTTTTTCTCAATGCAAACAAACCTCATTGTGTAGAGAACATCTTTCGCCAGTGAATGGAAATCCCCTTCTTGGCCACCGGCCGTTGTCATTACAGGACAAGAGAAATGGCGAGTCGTGCTTCTCACGTTAACATATTATTAACTAGGTTCGATCTTGGGTTGGGTGAGTTGGGTTTTACGCCGCTTTTAGCAATATTCCAGCAATATCACGGCGGAGGACACCGGAAATGGACTTTACACATTGTACCTATGTCGGAAATTGAACACGGGGCTTCGCCGTGACGAGCTAACGCTTTGAACGCTAGCCTACAAAACCGCCCCTCGATCTTAGAGTATGCGTCTAAGTGAAATATGTAAGGACTGTGTTCGACAGGACCGCGATAATTCACACCTGGGATAGTTGTTTAACGCCGCATTCAGCAATATTCCAGCTATATGACGGCGGTCTGTAAATAATCGAGTCTCGACCAGACAATCCAGTGATTGACATCATGGGCTTCAATCCACGCAATTGGGATACGATGACATGCATCAACCAAGACAGCGAGCCTGACCACCCGATCCCGTTAGTCGCCTCTTACAACAAGCACAGTCGCCTTTTATGGTAAGCATGGGTTTGCTGAAGACCTATCCTACCCCGGGTCTTCACGAGTCCGATAATTCATATGGGTATTTGTTTAATCACACAGCTATATTTGAGACTTTAGTAATATTCAGTACGTCCACCAAGTGCAGTGTAAGGAATCTGGATCACTGGTCATTGTGAAGGTTAGAATACACCAAGGTCAAAATGCCACTGGCCACCAAGAAGGGGCAAGAAAACAACAATGGACTGAACTATACCTTTGGACAGAGTTGTAACACAACGCTACCATCGAGTGTTTGTTCACCTTGCTTGAGAAGACTAACGGTAGTACAATACTCTAGTTAATTACCCCATCAAGTATCGTATTGGTCGCTGAGTGGGTATAAGATGGTGTGCAGGGCTCAGGAGAGGTCAGCAGTACACGACTGCCCCTGTATATCATCAGTGATAATTCAGCTATCATCCTGTAGGTCAGAAGTTCAGATCAGCTACAGTCACGCGAATCTATGATCAGGCAATGTCCTTTCTGGCGCGCCAAACATGATCAACTGGTTCTAACGCTCCACGACTGTGTATAGGCATTTGTATATCTCGTGTGGCATTTCTATGGTTGAACATACACTGTTTATTACTAAGCACCGCCTGACAGTTTAAGATCACACTGACCGTCAACGTTAGAATGTTTGTTCGTGAAAAGACGGACCGGCAGCGTAGGGGCACTTAACTTTGTAATGATAAAAATTGGTTATCCGTCAAGTCGTGGATGTCTCCTGGGAACAGGTGAGAAGTTCATGCGACGGAGTTGGACGTAGTCAATGGTGTAGGTGTCGGAGTGCCGGGAATTGTTGGAGCTATTATCGGTGGTCGCGAGTCCCAAGAGTCAAGGTTCCTGAACGTTAACAATCATTACAAATAGACACCGACAGAGAACCACCCTGAGGGGATGGAAAAGTGTAAAGGAACATTGTTCGTGGACAGAAGTTCAGCTTGGGCAATTGATTACATTTAGAAATATAGATTGTAGTTAATTTGTCACGTGGAGACGTCGAAATGTTTCAATATCACACACGAACTGCTTGTTATTATCATTGTCAGTGAGGTTTTTTACCGCCGCGATCAACAGTATTCCAGCTATAGCACGGTGCGTCAGCCTAATCTGGGAGAAACGTCCTCCAAAGTGATGCCTGTCTTAGACGTTTACCACTTTGGTGAAACCCACGAGCACGGGTATGGTGCTGACAAATCAAGAAACATAATTGGGGCGGACCAGGATTCGTACCAAAGAACATAAGTTTTTGGCATGCCAAAGGGGCATAACTGTGAGTGAGTTGGATTTTACGTCGCTTTTAGCAATATTCCAGCAACATCACGGCGCGGGACACCAGAAATTGGCTTAATAAATTGTACCCATGTGGAGAATAAAACCCGGGCCTTCCGCGTAACGAACGAACACTTTAACCGCTGGGCTACCACATCGCCCCTATTCCTCGTGAATCGAGAGAGTAAATTCTATATGAGTGCTCATTATTTACATATAGAGTTAAACACTTTTATATAACATTATTACAACGCGATATATGCATAAGAAGATGAACATGTAGCTTCATGGTCGCGGCAGAATCCTTATCGACACTTTAGGAGTAAAATTGGCATTATCGAAGTACGAATAAATCGAATTATGTCAGCTTGGTTTCACCGTACACACGTAAACTGAAACAGTCATACCAACATTCATTGGCAATATTTACTATCACACAACTTTTAAATTAAAAACCTACCACGAACAAGTCTTTTGAGTGTGAATGGATATTGTATCGCGACGGCAAACAACAAGTGTTTAGTCGGATTCGTCTTATGCCACATCACTTCCAGACCAGAGGCCAGCATCGCCAGCGGACCGATAAACAAAGTTCTTCATCTTGTAACGTATCTCTTCAGAGTCGTGTCGCTTTGGTTGAGTTTAATAACACTAACTACGGGGTAATTACCCTGGACTCTAGAGGAGGGATCGGAGATATCAAGTGCCAAAGGAAAATAGTGCCACTACCATCACTTTCTGTTTCCTTGAGCATCGTTGACCTTTATTGATTGTGGAGGGTCTTCAAAGAGACCAGTGTGTGCGTGACTTCAGCCTAACAATTACAGAGGACCTACCTCTGATTCAGTTGTCGTGACGCTCTGGTGTAGTGTTTCATTTCCATGCAGTATAACAGAGTGAGTGAGTGAGTGAGTTTTGTTAAGCGCTGCTTTGCATTTCAGTTATGTCACGGCGTGTCTGTTTGAAGTGGAGGAAAGCACAAAGTCTTTTAAGAGGATGGCCACTTTGGTGAAAGCCACAAGCACGGGTATTGTGGAACCTGGAAACTTCCCAACAGCATGAAAAGGCCGAATCTCGAATACGAACCCACGATCATAGGTTTCTGGAACCCATCGGATACGCAACTCAGCGCAGCGAATTGCGGCGGCTTAGACGACTGGGCCACCCGTTATCCCAGTCATATTGGAAATAACACAAAATAGAAAAGCGTTTTTTCACATTGGTATCATTTCCAAGTTGATAAGTGAAGTAAGTGCATGCTGAGATTCGAAAGCAACTTTGGACGATCTGGTTGAGTGTGCAATCCAACCGCGCCGTTCGACTGCAATGGAAAACCAGATCGTCCAAAGATGCTTTCGAATCTCAAGGGACGTCGCCGAAGTACATGATAATCATTACAGAGCTAGAGGCTATTGCTAGGGACGTTGTCGGTCTTAATTCCAAAAGACATTGCTTATTATGATAGTCTTAACCCCAGAGCATTTTGCTTCATTTACATGCGGAAAGGCAATTATTGTATAATCATCATAACGTCAAAGAGAATTTTACACGACATCATGTCCCTACTTGTTCCAACTAGTGTGGACTATAGGGTAGCCTAGTGGTTAAAGCGTTCGCTTGTCTCTCCGAATACCCGGGTTCCATTCCCCACATGGTACAACGTTATATTGCTGACAAATTGCTGAAAACGGCGTAAAACCATATTCACTCACTCACTCTATCTTGAATGGGGCGATGAGGTTGTCGGTTGGTTAAAGTGTTTGCTTATCACGGTGAAAACCCGGGTTCGATTTTGCACATAGGTACAATGTGTTACAGGTCCATCCTTGGTGTCCTAAGCGTGAACAAGGCTGTCCAAAAGCCTACACATATTAAAGTCTAGTTTTAATTATGATATAGGCAAGTGGACACGCTTGTATTGTTTCCACTACGGATGAATTATTTATGGTGTTGTGTGATAAAAGTATTTAATTCACATAAAGTGAATTCTTTCGGAACAAGTTATAACAACTTTGATTGCCCGATGCTAAACTCATTTGAAATAATTCGCTTACAATAACACACATCACAAGAGAAAGAATAGACAGGGTAGGATACCTTAACAGGGGCTATTTTCGCTTAAAACATTCTTTGCCCTTTATAGATATGCGTTCACTATTATCATATCACTGTATTAAAGTAGTCGTACATAGTTTTTGAACATAGACCATCAACAAAAAATTAAAAAAAGGTTGTGAGTATAACATCTGCATCTGTCCAGTTTCAACAGCATATTAATTATTTTTTTGTTTAACGAAACATGTGTTGTAACAGTTAATCAGTTTTGTTTTGTTTAATATTTCATGATAAAACTGTTCCGGTGTATCTGTCTGAAGTTGTATGCGGCTGACGACACAAAATAGCGTGAAACATATCAGAGTTTATGGCTGGAAAGAATTTAAATTATTTTCACCTGGAGGTCAAATTCTATTTTGTTAAATTGTGGCATATTATGGGCTTCCCACCAGCTGTCAACTATTTCAATAAGTGAGACTATTTGTATGACCAGTAGTATAAATTACAACATATTTCAACCAAGAACTGAACTACTATTATCACGACAAGTTCTAATATAACGGGCATTGTTTTTCATATGGGGAGATAGGAAATCGCTGAGATCATATTCTAAATTATGATTAGCGTTCTTTCATTTATATGCAAAAACGGGATAAATAATTATCTTTGTGAACATTCTGGTATTTGGAATAATACTGTAATTACAAGCATATCCTATTTCAGTGATGTATGTCCGCCATTGGGATCAGAAAATAAGGAAACTGGAGAGGTAGTCACACTTTTCACGGACAAAGCTAATTCTACACAGTCCGTGGGAGACGATGGAACCCAACAATTATCTTCCAGATTTGAGTTCTTCATAAAATAATCTCGACTTGCTGAGTGACATTTTGAAAGCCGTTTTGACATAGACAGTGTCTGTTAGACCCCCTAGATCGATAGATG